ATCCGTTATATATGTCACTCATTATCACTTTTGTACGGAAATCCCACAACACTTAATATTTTCCTTATGAGCAATTGTTTATTCAAAGCCTAAAACAGGAGTACAAGCTAAACTATGATGTTATAACTCAACACTCAGTCATATGATAATGATTGGCACAGTGTCATTCAGCTAAATCCTCTACAAGATATCAGCCTTTGGCATGTGTAGATGAGAAACTATTGGAGGGAAGGAAAACAAAAGGGACAGAAAAGGATGTGAATGATAAACTTAAGGAGGTTATAATTATAGGTGATTCCTTGACAAAGCTTGTGGATAGGATAGTCTGTGGAGTAAACAGGGAAAAAAGAATTAGATTGTGACCCAGGGGTATAGGTGAAGGATATAACTGACAGAGTAAGAGATATAATAAAGGGGGCTAGCAATGATGCAGTTTTTGTTGTGCACATAGGGGCCAATGATGTAGTGAAAGGTAGGTGAGAGGAGCTAATTAATAAGTATAAGGGGTTGATAAAGGCAGTTAAAGCAAAAGGCCATAACTTAATTGTGTCCAGGATACTGCCGAGAATTAATTGTGGAGATGGTTGGTTGTTTTGAATTTCGTGCAAAGCTACACGAGGGCTATCTGCACTAGCCATCCCTAATTTAGCAGTGTAAGACTACAGGGAAGACAGCTACTCATCACCACCCACCACCAACTTCTAGTGAGATTAGTGAGATTGACCATCACATTATAATGCCCCCATGGCTGAAAGGGCAAGCACGTTTGGTGTGATGGGGATTCAAACCTGTGACCCGCAGATTGTGAGTTGAGCACCCTAACCACCTGGCCATGACGGGCCATTGTAGGAATGAAATTATGAGTAGGTCACTAGGGCTTAGATTAATATGTAATGATGAACAGATTGGTTCATTGGACTTGTGGGATCAGTTTGATGGGAGAAAGAAGCTTTTTGGTATGGATGGTTTACATTTAAATAGATTATAGGGCCTGGCTTGTTTGCAGGGGCTATTAACTCAGCTCTAAGTGAAGTTTTAAACTAGGACCAGACAGTGGTGAGGGTCAGGATAAACTAAATGACAAAAAAAAACAAAAAAATGTAGAGAATAGTTTAGCATAGAAGTAGTTCTAAGAATAGGTTTAATTGTTACTATTGTAGTATAAGAAATATAAGAAAAACAATAGATGACTTTAGGGCACTGGTAGAAATGGAAGATTTTGATATAATGGGAATAAGTAAAACATGGTTAAATGTAGATGATTCTGCTGACAGAAATTTCTCTGAAATAAAGGGTTTTAGGTTATATAATAGAGATAGACTACTGAAGAAAGGGGGGAGGGGTGAGTTTATATGTAAAATATGAATTACATCCTGTTGAAGTTGAGGATATCTAAGATAATGGCAAGGATATTGAATCCATTTGTGTTTCTATTAGCAGACATAAAGAGAAAAGACTTTTAGTGGAAATTTGTTACAGCCCACCAGATGATACTGATGAAATTAGTGAGAACATTTACAGTGAGATTAAGATTTCAGCTGTTAATGAGGTTATAGTTGTGGGTGATTTTAATTTCAGGAATCTAGATTGGGAAATGCTTGAATCAAACCATAATGGAAAAAGGTTTTTGGAAACTGTTCAAGATAGGTTTCTTCACCAATCGGTCAAAGAGCCCACTAGAAACAATGATATTTTAGATTTATCGTTAATTTCTAATATAGAAATGATCGAGAGGGTGGAAATTGGAGAACATCTGGGTGTATGTGATCATTGCTCTGTTAGGTTTGGAGATAAGGAATAATGATATTTTGGTTACAAATTTCAATAAAGCCAATTTTGAAGGGATGCGACAAAAAGTATTTGTTGTGAATTGGGCAGCTGAGTTATTTGGAGACACTGATCAGATGTGGAAAATTTTTAAAGATAAGTTTTTAAATATTCAAGGAAAACATACTTCTTGTAGAAAGAAAGGGGTAGCTGCAAGTAAAAAAACTAGGTTGGCTCACAAAAGGTATAAGAGATAAAATTAAAAAAAAGCATTGTAAATTTAAAAAATTTTATTGACTGGTATGATGGGAGATTTAGAAGGTTCTAGAAGATCAAGAAAGTTGGTGAAACAGGAAATTAGGACATCAAAAAGGTAGGCTGAAAATGTGAAAATTATCAGTAAGGATTTCTTTAAAAACATTAAGGGTAAATAAAATGATAGGATGGGGGATGATCGATTGAGGGATGATAAAGGAATTCTTGTATCTGATTATTATTAGATGGCTGGATTATTAAATTCTGCTTTTTTCTTCAGTTTTAACTAATGAAAATATAAGCAGTATCCATCATCTTGAATAGTTGATAGATGGAAATAAGGTTGAACCAGATAATTCTGAGCTTTTTAAGAAAAAATTGGGAAGTTTAAACAACGATAAGATTCCTGGATCTAATCAATTCATATACATCTTCTTCCCAAATTTTCTCTTGCTTTAGTTTAAATTTATATTTTTGTCAATATAGTCTATGGTATTGTTGGGGTCTTTATTTGTACTTAACTTTATAAAATTGTTATTATCTTTTAAAACATTACAAATTTTTCTCTTGTAATTTTTTTTTATTTAGGTTTAGTTAATATATTAGTATTTATTTTACTATTAATTTAACAAAATGCATTTAATTTATTTTTTTAAATTACACTCTTTGTTATTATTGTATTATATTTATTAAGAGCCAAGAAGTAAAAAAAAACAACAATAGTAATCAAGGTTTGTAGATTATAAAAAGAAAAAGAAACATATTTAAGAAATAATTTTTTTTTGTGATTTGATTGTTGTTGAGACAAAAAGCCAAAAAAATGAGCTTTCTATGCTATGCATACTGCAGGATTCAACTTTGAAGTTTATTGCAATAAGCTTTAAAGTTTACCACTGAGCCACCAGGAAGCTTGGTAATATATATGTATTTTTTAGTTCCTGTAATAAGTTTTCTAATAGCATAGGTAAAGTGTCAAGTTTTAATTTTCAAGGAGTTAAACAGAAATGAAATCGATGTGCTAAACCTTTTATTTTTTAAATTTAACTCTGTTTAATTAAATCATTGAATTCAAAATTAATTATTCTTGGAAGATTTTGAATTAATTCTAAGATTGATTTTTATTACATATTCAAGTGGATACATTTCATATTTGAACCTAAAAAACTTATTTTTTGCATCTACATTTCTTAATCAATCAGCACCAAACTTGACACAATGATACAGGATGACATGAGAAAGGTCATGAGGGGGTTTGGACCCCCTATCTGTTAATAGAATTCTTGAAAACACCATGTCTTTCTTTTCAATATTGGTACTTTTATGTATTTTTATTGCACTTTTAATGTTTATTATGTTAATAAAAAAACATAGAAGCACAATTTCCTATCCTTTGTTACAAACATTTTTTTATTTCACCCATACAGTGGATGGCTATTCCAGCTAGTCTATTTATAAGATGGAAAACTTTACTTGCATACCTACATGTTTGAAAGTTTAAAATTTAAGTAGAAATGTTGAGGAACAAATGAAAATAGAGATTATTTAGTTAAGCATGCTCAAGAAAGATTGTTCTTAAAAATAAACACTTTGTGCCATGTTCATGGTTAATTAATGCTTTACTGTAGTATTATGAAGTCTTTAAAAGAGGAGAAGTGCTTTGTGAAATTTATGAAAAATGATAATAAAACAGTTTTAAACCATCCCTTGAAAATGTCAAGCTGGGCTTGTCAAAGTTAGTTGGGAGTTTTTGTTGAACCTGTGTGCATATTTTATTAATTCTTTAATAATTTGTACATTATTATTATGTTTTTTTTTATCAGCCTATTTGATGATGTTGGAGAAACAAGAGATGGTTAGCACTAGACATAGGCCATAAAGCAAATATAACTTTGTATTTTTTGTTGTTGTTTTGCAGGTTTTTGTCAAGAAAAATGACATCTATTATGTACCAAGCATAGGTGCTAAGAGTATACAAATAACCAAGACTGGCAAAGATGGAGAAATTTATAATGGGATTCCTGACTGGGTCTATGAAGGTATTTTATATGATTAATAATGTTGCTCAAACAATTTTGATTTCTACATAAATGTACATATTCACGAGTGAATATATTTGTCTGTGCCTTCATAATTTTTTGTTTGGTTTAGATCATTTATTTTCTTTTGTGGGAATTTCTATTGATACTGTAAGATATAAAAAAGTTAAATTAACAAAATGTTGGATACATATAATAGCTTTTTCATAATTTCTTTTTGGCTGAATAAACTCTGACACATTTCCTTATAGATAAGCCATCAGTACTGAACATCATGGTATATAGTAAGCTTTCATATATTAAACATATTAAATTACTTGCTCTTGCTAATGAGATGCCCTGTCCTTGTGGCTCATTTATTGGAATTAATTTCTACGAACACTAAAGTGTTGAAAGTTTAAATTCAAGTAAAGTTTAACACCAGTAACTGTATATATGTAAGCATTTTAAGGACTTTACTATGTAATAGTAATCATACAGAAAACTTTGATGAGCTAATTAGTATGCAAATGTAATTCTTAAGTCTTTTATGCTAAATATTGTTGAAGAATAGTTAGTTAATTAAAATGTCTATAGTTTATTCTGGTCATATTTAAGTATTCAGTGGCATAACGTACAGTTAACTCATATCAGTTCTAGCTGTCTAATTAATTTCAAAAGAAAACTTGTATTATTGACTTTAGATAAAGTACATCAATATTAGGCTGATATTAAAGCAAAAGTTGAGTTCTTGGTTTTGTTTTAATTATGCCACTATTACTTTATTGATATTAATGCAACACTTGAATTGTTGACTTCAGTTGGATTAAAGCCACAAGCACAAGCCTACAGAAGCGATTAAATGATTAAGAACTTATTGAATGGCTCCCATTATCCAGTACTTGATGCTTAAATATGTAAGTGACAATAATCCTCCAAAATGATTAAAATGGCAAGGAAACATCTCAAAACACATCCAATAATGCCTTAAATGAACAATCTTTCTCAGCCTTTCACAATTAATTTTACAAGTAGATATTAAACAAAACATGGGTTACTGGGTTTAATTGAAGTACTTTCAGGTGAAAATGGTGACAACAGTCGATCAAAAGTATCACAATAAAGAGATTCAAAATGATAAATTTTGTCTAGTAAACAGTCAAAACTGAACCAGTGAAATAATCATATCAGACAGTTGTTTTAAATAAAAACAAACAATCTTCTTTTGTGAACAACAATGAAGTGTTTGGTGCAATTTTACTGTATTTTACACTGTTAAAATGATGTTTCTTACTTATACATAATCATAATTTAGGTCACTCTGTAAAGAAAGAGGTGATTTCTGCAGTTAAACCTTGCAGAGCTAACACTGTAGTTTGGTCTGACCAAAGTGTTTGGTGCAATTTTACTGTATTTTACACTGTTAAAATGATGTTTCTTACTTATACATAATCATAATTTGCAGCACCAACCATTGGAGCTAATACAGGTCACTCTGTAATGAAGGAGGTGATTTCTGCAGTTAAATCTTGCAGAGCTAACTCTGTAATTTGGTCTGACCACCCGTAAATTCTAAATGCACCTAATATGGGTCAATATCAGTGTTAGTTTAAGTTGCAGATCTATACTCCAGCCTCTGCTGTCTGCAACTGGTATGCTGATTGGATTAATTCAAGTTAAAGTAGACCAAACTCTATCCATGAGAATGCTAGCTCATTGTAAGAACATATGTATACATTTAGAAAACTTTTACCTGAACGTGTCTCAAGTAATATACATTCATAAACTAGTTATAAAAGAGTTAGACTGTAGTAATTTCACTACACTAATAACACACCATCACTAAACAAATGATATGTACATGAAGAACTAGGCTTTTTTACTTTTAACTAGTCTACACTGCAACAAATAATTTAATATTAACACAAAATTGGGTTATTTTCTTTGGTTAATTTACACATAAAAAGTGTGTTTTTATTATAAGATTAATTATATCATCACTATTTGGTTTATTTTAAAACAAAACAAAGGCTCTAATCTTAATTAACCAAATGCTGCTCAATTGGTAATAACACAAAACTTTGACCATTGGCTTTAGATGATTTCAAGACAAAATTAAAGTTTTTGACTTTTTCTAAATTACACCCAACACTGGATAGTTGATAATAATAAATATTTCTTCTTTAGTTGAATTACACCACAACATTTTGGCTGTTGTTAACACAGAATAAGAGTTTTTGACATAAGTTGAATTACACCAGTACTGATCAATTGATATTAACCCACAAATAGGATTCTTCACTGTCAGGTTTTTATAGGGCTTGATTCTTTATAGTAGGTGTCTGTGACTTGTTGGCGATAAATTTCAACAATACACAGACAGCACACAATCCACTTGTTTTAAAATAATGTATTCAAAACAAGTCAAACATATGTACAAAACTTCGCTACACTACTGGTTATCAGAGTTGTATCCAGAGCTTTAAATAATTGTCTCTTTTTTCATCAGAGTCCACACAGGCAGGTTCAATTAATTTAGAACACCCTTTGACAAGACAAATTATATTATCCTCTACTCTGTTATTACAATACAAGGCTGTAATACTCACTTTAAAATCACCACTATAACTGTTGGTTACCACAGTTGTATCCAGAGCTTTAAATAATTGTCTCCTTTACTCTATCTCTGTTTAGTTAATATTAACACAAAATTTGAATTATTTGCTGGTAATATATTACACTAAATTTGACAGATTAACAAAAATATTTCAGTTCTTGACTTAATTGAAAAACAATGACATTGTTAGAGAACATTAACAGAAAACTAGGGATCTTGGCTAATCAGCTATAATTAACACATTGTATGGATTTTTATTTTTGGTTTAGTCATTTCAATGCTGAACAGTTAATTTCAACACAAAACTAGTGTTCTTTTATTTGGTATTAATACAATACTCGAGTTTTCTTTTTGCAACATAAACCAATGCCCATTTGTTAATATTAACACAAAACTTGAATACTTTGCTACAATCATCTCACACCAACACTGACTTGTTGATATTAACATGAAACTTGAATTCTTGGCTATAATCATGTAGCACCAACACTAGGAGTCTTGAGTTGGTTTGAATTACACCTAATACTGTTAGTTCATACTAAAAAGAACAACTTAGATGGTTATCTTTAGTTAATTGAATTTCATCTTGAATGGTTGAACAATCATGTAATGAGAACTCTTACTGAAACATATTTATCTTAATAAGTTTTCTTTTGCATTAATATGTACCAAAATTATAATATAAGTAAAATGTATTTGATTTCTCTGAATATTTGTTCTGTTATTTAGAGGAAATTTTATCTACAAACAATGCTCTCTGGTGGTCAGAAGATGGAAAGAAACTTTGTTATGCAACTTTTGATGATAGCAGTGTCCAAGAAATGAAATATCCATTTTATGGGAATTATGGCGATGAAGATAATCTTTATCCCAAAATAATGAATTTAAGATATCCCAAAGTAAGCAAAATTTTGATTCACACTAACATTTTATTTCAGATATTGCCAGATGTTACGATGAGTCTCAGAATTCTATAATTTTTTTTAATCTAAAGTTTCTAATTCATCTGAACATTGTGAAACATTTTAGATTTATTGTTGAAAAATGATGACTTCAGACATTTCATCTTCTCACTATAAGTTTAACATCTCATAAAGAACCATAAGCATAACATAATCCTCCAATTCAAATATGATGTTTTTCAGCTAAGATTCTTATAATCTCTAAATGCCTTAACAGTAGCTTTCCTTACTTTTTGATTATTTCAAAAAAACCTTACCAATATCTAGTTTACTAGTAAATTTCTTATAAGTTTGTAATTTATTAATCATTTGATACCCTATTTATCACTTTAAGAATGGGATTATGGTTACAGCACATAAATTTAGATGAAATACATTCTATTTAAGCAAATGTGATGAGATTATTAAAAGTTTTTTTAGTTTGAATAAATTTTTTCATTTATACTAGCCTCCTGTCAACCATCTCAGTAGTAAGGACAGATGCTAAAATATCATCTTTAACTATAAATAACATTCTCAGTAGTAAGGAGAGATGCTAAAATATCATCTCTAATTAGAGCTAACCTTCTCAGTGCTGAAGACAGATTCTAACATATTTATTGCTAACCTTTTCAATAGTGAAGACAGATTCTAAAATATCCTCTTTAGTTAGTGCTAACCTTATTCATAGTGAAGACAAATTCCAAAATGCAGAGGTGGCTCTAGAGATAGTGAGGCCCTAGGCATGAATCCATGCCTTGAGTGAGGCTGGGAACAGTAATTTTGCTAGACTAAAAAAAAATCCACCTTTATAGATATCTTGTGCGAGACCCTAGGCAGTCACCTAGTTTGCCTTATAGTAGTCACCTCTACCAAAATGTTTGCTCAGTAGTGAAGACAGATTCTAAAATATTTGGTGCTAATCTTCTCAGTAGTGAAGACAAAGTCTAAAATCATGAATATCAAGTTTTTATGTGTAATGACAAATTATCCTTACATTTTTGAAGAAGACCTTTGTACTTTGTTAATAGTTCTGTTAGCTCCATAGATACTATCATTGAGTCTGACTTGTACTGCATAAGTAGAATTTTGTTTACTTCTTTGTACTAGTCTGTTCACTCCACAATTATCTTTCATTTTATTACGTTGTAAGAAGTTATTTGTGCTAGTTTTTCTTTGAACTCCATCACATAAAAACCTTTCAGAACACTTAGAGAATCACTCATAAATTTAATGCATTAAAGAGAGACACAGATTTGTTTGATATATATGTCTTGCACCTCACACATCTTACTTGCCTAGTCTTAGGTCTTTTATTATATATAGATAATATTAAACCCTACATTTCCCTCCATGCCCAATTACAACATGAATATTTAATTTTGATATTTCTTTTGTAAGTATAGGTAACTTTTTCCCTTCTAATATGATCACTCACCTCTTTTCACAGATTATCTATTTTCCTCTTTCAATTACCCTGCATCTGTAATGGGTGAGGGTATTCATTTACTTATTCCCTCCTCACCTTTCTTTTACATTTGGATCTCACTAGGTGGCTAGTGTTGCCTCACAGGGTATACTTACCAAAAATTCCATATCAGGCCAGTATAATGGAAAGTACTGAGTACTCTTTGAGATGGGACATTCTGTAAGACCACTGAAGTTCTACTCATGGTGTTTATATAACTTTTTCCAGTCCAATGCAGACTGTACCCATTCCATGGACTATTATGGAAAAGCTAGCATCAGATTTGTGCATCTGCCCACTTATCTGGCTAGTGCTTGCTGGTTTTTCAAAATAGTTACCCATTTCAATGTCTCCAATAAAAGACCTTTCCAGACTGAAGAATCAATGGGGATCTCGGCAAATTCTCTGGGTCTCCCTTATGTGAATCTTCCCTTTGAGTGGTGCACAAGAGACCCTTGCCACCTACCAGCTCCAAGCCACTGTGATGGTGGATCATGGAGAACCCTTAGAGATTGAGACCTGACAGCTGGTGCTAAAACAAGACATCTCTCAACACTGAGAAGTGAGGCAGGGGTGTTTCCATAGTGTAGTGTGGACCACCCGAACCTTACCTAGATACATCACAATCTCCAAGGGGAGTTTGGACAAACAGCTCACTTACTCTCTGTTTTTCCTTGACCAACTCCTGTAAGGTCATGACTCCACAGTATATGCTTGTGGAATAATCAATATTTTTAATATCCACCTGTGATGTATCACTAATTAATCCCACTTCCACAACTGGCAAAAGGTGCATAGAGTCTGATGGTTGAGTGGTGGTTTCAAAAGTATCTTTATTAGTTGTGCCTACTGCAGTGCCTTCCTCCTGTGAATTGTGTGGGCCTTGGTGTCTGATGGTTGAGGAGCTGTGCACAGATACTTTTCACATGTGCCCTTCTCCCACAGCTAGTATTGGCCTGTAGAAACTGATGGTCAAGGAGGTGAGCATACATGGTACAGTCTGAACTTGCCCCAACCTTACTACATATATTAGCCATCCAATGGATTGTGCAAGCCCTCAGACAGTCATGTATCTATTCTGCTCATCCTTGCAACATTTTTAAAGCTTTTTGCCTCTCCCTATCTTTCACTTGGGCAAAGAGTATACCCTAGATGAGATGAGATGCAGTTTCTCATAGGTTTGCCCCTATGGAGCCCCTTCTATAGGGTGTTGGATCCCAAAAGCTTCTTTTTGACACTCTTAAAAGGTGGTTCATCTCAGTAATTTCTGCACTGGTCCCTTCACCATTTAAATATAGGATTCCAGCTCATCTGTATATAGAGGAGAGTAATCATATCAGAAGTTAACATGTTCCTTATCTGAAAACCCATTTCTCATAGATACTCACCTCTGTACACATTTCCACCTTTCCTCCTCAGTTTTCTGGTGCACGTTTATTGATTACCTCATCAAGGAATGAAGATTTTGCATGTGAATGTAGAGGGAGCATTTGTGCAAAGAGGTGTGTTGCACTCCTATTGGTGGAGGGTTTTGCTGATTCATATGTCATCATGTAGTAGCACAATTTCACGTGAATTTTAGGTGGGAATTTCACAAGGCTGGTAGCATGCAAGTCTCAGGCAGAAAAGTACATCTTCAAGAGGAAAATAGTTAATCAGGGTTCAGAGGTGAGCAGCTCTCAGAAATACATTTTCAGATAAGAAAAATTTTAACATCATGAAAAACAGGTAAGTTTGCACTTGGATGTGGTAGGCATCCAAAACATGATGCTCATTTTGGTGCCCAAAAATTGTTCCTTATGAAGAGGAAATCAATTTTTTTTTTATTTTGATGTGGTTGATAAGTACTACAAACATTCAGCTGAGCAACTATTTACACAATTAAGAGACAGACTATGCACGAGTATGAATTTCCATCAGATTTTGAGATAAAGAGCTGTGTGATACAACTGTTTGTTAAGAAGAATAAGTAATGCAGATGTCATTGACCAATTGCCAGGATAGCTCTAGCTCAGCACAGTAAAGTGAAAATATTATAATGTTACGTATCTGCTCGTTTGTTAATTTCCGGTATAAATTCTCTTCGAGGAACTTCAGCGATACAAGTCCTTTCTT